GAATAAGGAAGTGTCTATCGAAACCTGGGAATATTTGTGGAAAAATTCTATTAAGATATCGCCTTGTACCAATGTTAGAGAGAATTGTTATAAAATGATGTATAGGTGGTACATTACTCCGAAAAAAATTGCAAATATGAACCAGAATATGTCAAATAAGTGTTGGAAATGTAAGAGCCATGAAGGCTCATTTTATCACATGTGGTGGACTTGTGAGAAAGCTGTTGACTTTTGGACAAAAGTCCACAAAGAAATGCAAAAAATTCTGAAATGCTCTTTCAAAAAGGCACCAGAAATTCTGCTTTTGGGACTGAAAATGGAAGAAGTCAATACAACTAAAAAGACTTTATTCTGGTACTTAATCACAACAGCGAGAATGATTTATGCACAATATTGGAAAACAGAGAAAGTGCCAGAAATCGAAGACTGGATACAAAAAGTTCTGTTCATGGCAGAGATGGACAAAATTACGAAGAAGCTGAATAATAAAGAAGATGAAGTGTTTTTTCAAGAATGGAGTGACTTTAAAATATACCTGGAAAAGAACTGGGATGTAAAACAAAACTTAATATGTTTAGATCAATATTAAGTCAGATGATGTTATCTTTAGATTGTAATGATAAGAAATTGACATAATTGATGATATGAAGTATTTGGAGTAGGGGTGGAAGCATTGCGGGAAGCCACTGGAGGGAGGGGAAGAATTGGGAATGGGGTAGACAATTGATAGAATGAAATGATTTAATTCTACATGTTGTAAATCTCCTTCCTGTGTACATCCATCTGTCCCCCCTCCCTTATGATCTTGCACCTGCCTGTGAAGAACTTTGCTGAATTGTTTGGCCTTCCCTCACTGGACCCTCCTCCCTGTTTCTGTGTTTATATCTTTTCTTGAGCTGTTTTGAATTTTAAAGCATGTTTCGATGTTCTTAATTGACTGCTGCCATGGGGACTCTAACATGGTTGGAAAGGCAATATATATTTGTTTAAAATATATACAATTTATTTAAATAATAAAACATATTCCTGATAACATCTTGTTTGATGCCTGCGGTGAGGCATCCTGGCCTACCCAAATTGCCTTCTGCATTTCTTCTCCTGCCTGTGGTTCAGCTCCACTTTCAGTCGCTCATAGCTTTAGTTCTGCATATTTCCCCCCATTTTGTTCTTTTGCTCCTCTGAGCAATTCTGGTTTGGATGAATGAGCCATTAACAATGTTTCTCTTTAGGTATGAGAAGAAGGAGACATTTGTGAATCCAGAGGATTTTCTGTTAAAGCTGAAACCGAGGGTCCACGACTGCTGTTACAACCCCTTTCTAAGGATAGCCATGAGACAATTCAAAGGTAAGAGTGAAATGGCTGCAGGGATTTCAAAGAGGACATTTACACCAGTCTGAAATGCAAATTGCAGTTCTTGGTCACTCAGGAATACCAGTTAAGTTGACAATTTTAGTTCAGCATAGAGAGAATTATTCTCAAGACTGGGGCAAGTGATGCTCTGTATTCTTGGTGCTTGGGGGGTGGGCAACAGTGGGAGGGCTTCTGGAGTCCTGGCCCCACTGGTGGACCTCCTGATGGCACCTGGTATTTTTGGCCACTGTGTGACACAGAGTGTTGGACTGGAAGGGCCTTTGGCCTGATCCAACATTGGCTTCTCTTATGTTTTGGAATCTTAGCTCAAAAACAAAGTTTCTAGAATGTTTAAAAAATTTCCTTCATTTTTTGTCTCCGTAATGTGGGTGCTGCAGTATTTAAGAGGGAGGCTGGGAAAGAAGCAGCCTTCAAAAGGAGAGGCGGGAACTTGATTTAGCAAGACTGATGAAGATTTTAAATGACCAAACACATATTTGCCCTACTTTTTCATTGCAATTTAAAAGTCACAATGTAAACTAATGCTCTGTTTTTGCACTTACAGTTGCTGGTATTCATTGATGAGGGTATTTGAGTTCAGTAGCCATTCTTGATGTATAATCAAAGCTGGGTTACTTTAGCCCTTTCCTTGATATAGATGAGAAACTATCCTTCCTTTCTGATAGTTGACAATGTCTGGAGGGTTTCCTAAAGAGTGCTTCCATGTGCACCGCAATGGTTTGGTTCCCTCTGCAGTCCAGCATTCGTTAACCATCCCGGTACCCCTGAAGATAGTGTATGATCCAGAGACAGGGCATTTCTCATGTAAATGTGGCTTTTAGAAAAGCCAAACTTTGGTGGGTTGAGACATTTTTTTGGGACTTCTACAGACAAAGTTCACAATTACTGGATCAAAATCAGGGTGCTGCTGCTACTGGTTTTCTGAATGTCCGGGATCCTTCCCTCTGTGTGCTGCCTTCCCTGTAGCCAGGGCTTTTTTGGTAGAAAAAGCCCAGCAGGAACTCATTAGCATAATAGGCCACACCCAACAGCAATATTAGGCCACACGCCCATGCCTTCCCTTGGCTTGGCTGGGTACCCCGTGGCTGCAGGGAGCCTGGGCAAGCCAGCCCTTGGACAGGCCGGAGAAGGCATGGGGAGGCATTTAAATGCCTCCCCGATCCTTCCAGGGCCCCCCTGGCCCATCTGCATCAGAGTCGCCAGGGGAGTCGCTCTCCAGGCCTTCCCTCTGTAGCCATGCACGCATGCAGAGGTTTTGGCTGTAGTGGGTGTGGCCAACTCTGAAGCCAGCCGGAACTCCGTTCCTGTGCGTTCCTGCACCAAAATAGCCCTGCCTGTAGCCAAAATGGACCTTTCAAAATTCTCACTTTGGCTTGTGTGAAGGACTCCTGTAGCTTGAGTGTTGTTGGGATTCAAGATTATCACTTTGTAGGACCCACATCCTCTTCAGTCAGTTCCAAAACTTACTTTGGCTTAAATAGCAGGGGACTGTATTTAAGAACACCCAGACTAGAATGACAAAGTCCCAGCCCAAAATTGTGTTGAAGGCAAGTGTTAGCTTTCCAGATCAGATATTGTGTTCCCTTGTTTTCTAAATCCTACAGAAGCTGCAATTGGGATTGTTGAAAATTACATTAGGATAAGAGAGATGTAGGTATTTGGAAGCAAAGATGGAAGGAGGATCCCCGCTCCCCCAGATTTGTTTCGGCATCAATACTTTTAGGAACTGCTATTCTTGTTACAAGAGACTCTATCTATACAATGGTTTGATGTTTATTCTCTGTTCCTTTTGCTTCTCCAGGAACTCTGGCTTGGACATTTCCAAAGCTAAAAGGTAAATTTTGAATCCTGTGAGAGAGAACAAAATTCCCAAGGAGGAGAGGGACTTGTCAGGAGGTTTCTGTTTGTGTTTGACATTCAAGACTGCGTCTATATAGGCTAGTTAGGGAGTTGCCTAGAGCACCACCTTCAGGAGAACGCTGGCCTGCCGATGAACCCCCGCCCCTCCCTCACCTGCCATAAAGCCCTGCTTCACTGGCTCTGTCCCTGTGCTCGGTGGGTTGGGGAGGGGTGGGGGGAAGTCGAGGGGGGGGCCTCCCAGCTCAGGTGAGGCAGGGGAGAGGGCCGCCTGCTCCGGATGGCAGCAGCTGCAAGTGTTTCCTTTGCCCACACTTCATCAATGCCCTCCTGAGTCCTCCTGCACCTCCCCGGCCAAGGTGGAGGCAGTGGGCAGGACAGCCACGCGGCTCTTTGACAGGCAGGCTGGGCCGGGCACCGGTGGGAAGAGCAGCCAGCAGCTGTCCTCTCCTTTGCGCGGGTTCTCCTGGGCTGCAATCTGTGCCCGCCTCTTGGCACCCAGGCTGTCGGCCAGTGCCAGGGAGGGGACAGGTGGCACCGGCCAGAGCTGCCTTGCTCCGCTGGGGCGGGATCAGCTCCCAGTTCAGACGAGAAGGGGCTGGGGGGGCTAGAAGAGGCCACTGGCCCAGAAGGGGGTTCATGTGGGGGGGAGGGTGCTGTCTTTGCCCCCTCCCCCCACTCAACCATGGGGGGAGGGCACTCCTGGGTCAGGCAGCGTGATCCCACTGGGCGCTCCCCTCAAGAGAGGCACTCCAAAGAACAGCAGTGGATGCCCTCAAAACCAGTGTATGTGTAAGGATCTGGACGGCCAATGTCTACCGGGGGTGTGTGTCGGGGGCAGTCTGTACCCTAGGGGCTGCCAGCATTCTGCATGCCTCCTGGAGGGGCCGGAGGGGGGATGTGAGACTTGCCCCGGGAATGGGGGGCAACAGAAGGGCTAGTCCCAGTGGTGGCGGTGCCCCTGTGACCATCCCCAGGAGGATGCCCCTGCTCCTGAGCCGCCCAGCCACCAGAACCCCCTGCATCCTTTGGCACCTGCTGGCATGCTGTCTCTGCTGCCCTCTGGCTGCCTGTCTCCCCTCAGTCTCCCTGCGTCCATCCTCCACTCCCCCATGTGGGTCTGCCGCCCACCCTCTCACCTGCTTCTCATCAACAGCCTCTGCCAACTGCCTGCCTCTCTAAGAGTGCTCCTTGGACCTCTGCCTTGGAGGGGAATGGCGTGGGAGGGGCTTGAGGGGAGGCAAAGCCCCCTCCCCTGCCACGCAGCTGGCGGGGAGGGGTGGGGGAGAGTGGCGGAGGAGCCCTTGAAGTCGCTACCTTCCAGCTGGCGCTGGGCCCCGGGCAGGGCTAAAGACCGGGTTCGAATCTGGAAGGCAGGGCAGCCTCTGATCTGGACCGTGGGAGAGGTGAAGGCCTGGCTGAGCCCCTTTTCTATTGGGGGCAGAGGCTGGATCACTCTTGAATGCGTTGACTGGAGGAGGAAGGGGAAAATCGGAGGGACTATTGGACCTGTTCAAATGGAAGGATGCAGTTTGGTAACTTCTCTCTCTCACACACACCCCACGGTCAGTGTTCAATACTAGTTAGAAACCCTGTTAACAGTTACAGTGAACAACACACCTACATCTTGCATGAACATGCGGGCATCTATTGGTAAAACAGAAGATAACATTTCAGACCAGTACCAGGATAAATGTTTAAATCACACATTCAATTGTACATGTACACATTAGAAAAGAAAAATGGAGTGTATAATGTACATGGATTATACAAGTGTTCATCATAAGGGGTGAACAGGGCTAGCACTGAGGGGTTTTAAAGAACTGAAAAGTACTGAGACTTACTAGTGATTTCAGCTCTCATACTTTATTTCAGCTCAGAACAAGACAAAGTACCCAGCTCGCAGGCTGGTTTATATGCACCATAACCCCGCACCCAAAACACACCCACACACAAGTGATTGGCTATTTACAGTGGCCAAGAGTTCCATAGGCTCTTGGCTGGGAGCCTAGCCTGCTGATAGGTGCCGGCTAGGATCTGCTTGTCCCATTGTTACTGAGAACGAAGCTCGGCCGCTTCGCATGACCGCGTGGTGAAATGGTCCAAAAGTCACCCACACATGAAGTCCTGCAAATAAGTGGGTGCTTTATGTGGCCTTGTTGAGTGGTGAGGTGCTGGCCCCGGGGCGGAAGGTGACCCCGTAGCCCTTGGCTGGGCGATGGGTGGAGTTGGTGACTGTGGTGCTGGCAGCGCTGTTTCTCGGGGCTCGGTCGTGCGATCTGTTGGAGTATCGACGGGAACCTCATTGTGCTGGGCCAAGTCGTCTGGGAGCTGAGGTGGAGTGGGAGTTTCCGGGTTATCTGGGTCCTCAAAGTCCTCTGGGTCGTGTGGCAGTACCTGCCGCCGCAGCTGATCGATGTGGCAGTGTGGTATCTGGCCGTCCTCGCTGGAGACATTGTATGACCTGGGTCCCCGGACTCTCACTACCCAGGCCGGAATCCATGGCGGTCCTTGCGCATAGTTCCGGGCATAGACCAGGTCCTTGGGGAAAAAACCTCTGGCTGCCTCAGGTGACTCCATGGCCGGTTCCTCTTCCGGTGCTTGATCGGGATGAAGGCGATCCAGCCGGGTCATCAGGCACCATCCCAAGAGAAGCTTCGCTGGGCTGCGTCCTGTCACGGTGTGGGGCGTCGTTCGCTGGCCAAAGAGGAAAGCTGCCAGCTTGTAGTCCCAGTCCTTACTATCCAAGCGGCGGAGCACCTCCTTTGTCGTGCACACCATGCGCTCGGCTTGGCCGTTGGTCGCAGGGTGGAACGGAGCTGACCTGACGTGGCGAATTCCATAATAGCGGGTAAAGTCCTGGAATTCGCTAGAGGTGAATGCCGTCCCGTTGTCGGTGGCCAGGGTGTCCGGAATCCCTTGTGCGCTGAACATGTGCCACATGGCCCGGATAGCTGCTCGTGAGGAGGTGGACGGCACCGGAATGACCTCAAGCCATTTGCTGTACGCATCCATGAGTATAAAAAAGAGTTGACCCTGGACTGGCCCGCAAAGTCCAGGTGGAGCCGAGACCAGGGTATGTGTGACGATTCCCAGGCCCTGACGGGAGCTCGGGGAGACTAGGTTAGGGACACTTGGCAGGGCTGACAGCGCTTCACCTGGTCCTCAATGTCCCAGTCCAGTCCTGCAGCAAACAATAAGATGGTCACAGTCCAGAGAGCTTACAATACATAAATCATACAACTGTGATAAAGAAGCATTCACAAGCCAGCTCTTGGACAGGCCGGGGAAGGCATGGGGAGGCATTTAAATGTCTCCTCCGTCCTTCCAGAGGGCCCCCCCCCCGCCCGTCCACTTGTGAGTCACTGGGGGGGTCGCTCTCCAGGCCTTCCCTCTGTAGCCACACATGCAGAGGTTCTGGCTGTAGTGGGCGTGGTCAATTCTGAAGCCAGCTGGGACTCCGTTCCTGTGTGTTCCTGCCCCAAAATAGCCCTGGTTTTGTCCATCTTTTTTCCTACACCCACTTCGGATGCAGAGAGGGAACTCCACTCATTGGATGTTAGAAGAGCCCTCTTATTTTATTTGAAGAGAACAGCTGAATTCCGTAGGGAGGGTTCTCTGTTTGCATGTTTTTCAGGCCCACGTTTAGGGAAGAGTGCAACCCCACAGACCCTTTCCAGTTGGTTAGTACGAAATATAAAGTACTTCTACTAGTTGGCAGAGCACCCTTTCCCATTGGATGTACGAGCTCATCCTTGACGGTGTTCTTGAGTGGTGTTCCTTTGGTGGAGATTTGTAGAGCAGCCACCAGTGACATGTTTGTGAAGCATTATGTTGTGGATGTTCCTGCTAGGGGAGATGCAGCCTTTGGGATGGCAATCCTCCATTCATTGTTTAAATAGGTGAGCATGTCCTACCTTTCCTGTCTTAGCTTGCTAGAATCCCCCACATGGGACTGCACAGAAGATCGACAATGAAAACAGGGTTGCTCACCTATAACTGTTGTTCATCAAGTGTCTTCTGTGCAGGCACACATACCCTCCCTCCTGCCTTACTTATGTGATCTCAGCAGCATGGAGGTACTGAGGGTGACTGTGGGCAGGGTCAGCCTTACAGTTCCAGTGCACAGCACCCTCTGGAGGCTTAAAGCTATAAACTTACCAATTGGCAGGCCTGCGCATGCGCAGTCCCCATGTGTGCCTGCATAGAAGATACTCGATGAACAACAGTTGTTTGTTGTTGTTCAGTCGCACAGTCGAGTCCGACTCTTCGCGACCCCATGGACCAGATCACGCCAGGCCTTCCCATCTTCCGCCGTCCTCTGAAGTTGGCTCAACTTCATGTTCGTTGCATCTATGACACTGTCCAACCATCTCATCCTTTGCCGTCCCCGTCTTCTTTGACCTTCAATCTTTCCCAGCATCAGGGTCTTCTCCAGTGAGTGCTCCCTTCTCATTTGGTGGCCAAAGGATTTGAGCTTCAGTTTCATTATCTGGCCTTCCAGGGAACAGTCAGGGTTGATTTCTTTTAGGATTGACTGATTTGATCTTCTTGCAGTCCAAGGGACTCTCAAGAGTCTTCTCCAGCACCATAGTTCAAAAGAATCTATTCTTCGGCGCTCGGCCTTCCTTATAGTCCAACTCTCGCAGCCATACATGACTACTAGGAATACATGACTACAGGCTTTGACCATGCAGACTTTTGTTGGCAGGGAGATGTCTCTACTTTTTATCATGTTGTTTAGGTTCACCATCGCTTTCCTCCCAAGGAGCAGGCGTCCTTTAATTTCATGGCTGCTGTCACAGTCTGCGGTGATCTGGGATCCCAGGAACGTGAAGTCTCTCACTACTTCCACGACTTCCCCTTCTATTTGCCAAGGAGTGATGGGGCCGGATGCCATGATCTTAGTTTTTTTGATGTTGAGCTTCTAGCCCACTTTTGTGCTCTCCTCTTTTACCCTGAGCAAGAGGCTCTAAAGGTCCTCTTCACTTTTTGGCATTAGAGTGGTATCGTCTGTATATCTGAGGTTGTTGATCTTTTCCCCAGCAATCTTAATTCCGGCTTGTGATTCATCCAGGCCAGCATTTTGCATGATGTACTCTGCATATATATTAAATAAGCAAGGTGACAATATACATCCTTGTCGTACTCCTTTTCCTATGCTAAACCAATCAGTTGTTCCATATCCGGTTCTAACTGTTGCTTCTTGACCCTTATAGAGGTTTCTCAAGAGACATGTGAGGTGGTCTGGTACTCCCATCTCTTTAAGGACCTGCCATAGTTTGTTGTGATCCACACAGGCAAAGGCTTTAGCATAGTCAATGACAACAGTTACAGGTAAGCAACCCTGTTTCCCCTTCCCATACATTCTTTTTAGTTCCATATTTATGGGAATGGAACTAAAAAGAATCTGAAAGATTCCCCCCAATGGCGCTGCATGCAAAATGCATAGGACTTCTATAATTTCCCCCCTCTGCACCAATTTGTTTCTTCCATCTCCTTTTTTCCTTTTAGACAACAAATTACTAACATGGGTGTACTGAGGTTATGTTGATAGAGTCAGGTGGGTAGCCGTGATGGTCTGAAGCAATAGAAAAAAGTTTGAGTCCAGTGGCCCCTTTAAGACCAATGAAGTTTAATTCTGGCCCATATAAGCTTTTGTGTGCACGCACACTTCTTCAGATACTCTGAAACAGAAGTCACTCAGTTCTCACTTATCCCCAACGATAAACCTAGTGGGTCTTAAAGGTGCCAGTGGACTCAAACTTTGAGGTACTGCTGGTTAGTGAAATAGGTTTGTGAGCAATACAGTGCTGTGGTTTGATTGACTTGCAAGGCTGCTCAGAGGTATACTGCCTTTGAACATGGAGGTTCCATTTAGCTGGTATAACTAGTAGCCATGACACCTGTTCCTCCTGAATGTCTCTAGCACTCTAATTAAATACAAACAAATGGTGACCATATAAGCTTAACTTGCATTTTTAATGCTAATTTGCTGTTCACTCTTTACATATATCAATGAATTGTTACCCTCCATTTCAGTGTATCTGAGGAAGTGTGCATGCTCACGAAAGCTCATAACTTGAACAAAAAAATGTTGGTCTTAATGGTGCCACTGGACTCACACTTTGTTCTGCTACTAGACACCAACATGGCTACTCACCTGAAACTGTATAAAAGCA